TTGAGTCCAACTCTTACGCTGTGTTCTTGGGTTACTTGGGTCAATTTAGATTGTATAAGATACTCATTAAATTCTAATCAGATTTATTGTTTGTTTGGCATGTTTCTATAGCATGTGTCACAAGACTTGCTGGTGATAAAGATAAAAGTAGAAATTGTACCTTAATTACCGTTTTTTCTTACAGATACGGGAATATGAATGGATTCATTCCCAAACCAAAAGGCTGAAGTTCAATGCTCTTATAACAACCTATGAAATTCTCCTAAAAGATAAGGTGTGTAATTGGTGGCTGAAAGGCTAAGTCTTGTACAGTGTGACTTGTCCAAATGATAGAGTCTGTGACATGTTATTTTTCTTCCTTTATCTAAAAAAACAAACGAACAAACAAAAAAAATCCACTAAGAATATTGAGGTTATAAATTAAAAACAGAACCTTACAGTTGAAGGGGGCCTTAGGTCACCAAATCCAGTTGACAAGATGAAAGGGTATTCAGGCCACTAACTTACCTGACATTTTAGCCAGTCACTGAAAACTAGGGCTTGAATGCCATCTCTGGCATTTCCCATCATATCATCACTAAGGTACAGAACAGATGATGTGAATGGTCTCTGTGAGGAGGAAAGAAAAATGAAACTGTTTATGTTTCTCCTTCTGCAGTTACTAAGAAATATATGTGATAGGTAGAGCTCATTGGTGATAATAAGTACAAACAAGTTCAATTTGATGGCTCTTGGTGTTTCTGTGCTTCAGGGTTGGGATGGAGAATAGGCAAGAGAAGAATCTTAATTAAGGGGAGAATACAAAATCATGTGTTTTTTCTTGTTTTGTTTTTGCCCAGCATGCCAGATTTTTTTTTTTTTTTGTTCTTGCTTTGGGCATGCGGCAATACCTGGTATAGGAAACACACCTATACCTTTCAGATGATGATACACTCTTTTGAGTAGACATCACTCTAGCAACTAGCAGAATAAACAGAAGAGTCCTAATGTACTTTAAGTCAGTGAAGAATAAATGTGTCTGTGTATACCTTTGTGATGGTATTTGTACAGAGATAATTGACACTTGAAAGCACTTTTGGGTTCCCTTCTGACCTGGTGGCTCGTTCTGTTTTGTTTTTACTTTAGACTGTGCTGGGCAGTATTAACTGGGCCTTTCTGGGAGTGGATGAAGCCCATCGGTTGAAGAATGATGACTCTTTGTTGTATAAAACTCTGATTGATTTCAAGTCCAACCATAGGCTCCTGATTACGGGGACCCCTCTTCAGAATTCCCTCAAAGAGCTCTGGTCCTTGCTGCACTTTATTATGCCGGAGAAGTAAGCTCCTTCCTGTGTATTTCAAAAGATACTAGAATGTCTGAAATGCCAATGCTTTTTAACTTCCTTGCTAGACCTTAGGGAAAACAGATGGCATGGTTTGGGGGAAAGCAAAGCATTAAACTGAGGCAGGAACAAAAGTAGTAAAATGTTCCATAATAATAGAAGGCACAGAGCCAGCTTGTTAAGGAGGAAAGCGTATCGTCGACCAAAAGTTTGAATTAGTTAATGCATTTGGGAATAATCGTTAAATAGGAAATAGCAGACCTTCTTACTATTGTTATAAGGTAATCAGTATAATTGAAATGAAGTATACGAGGTATACAATTTGACAAGCATTAAAAAAAATCTTAACTCCAAATCAGTGACTTCAAAAGCACCAGCTTTAGGCCTTATGCTGACCTTTATTCAAGAACTGCAGAATGTCTTTCATTTCTGTTTGAAGAGATTTTTATGGTAGACAAGGTACGCACATTTCTTAAACTTAAAATCATTCATTGGTGTTCCATGATACTTAGAATAAAGCCTCAATTTGTTACCCTTATTTGGAAGACCCTGCTCACTTTACCCCTTGACAGTACTCTGCTTCATCTCATATCACCCTCTGCATCACTTGTGCGTTAGCCATCCTGGCATCTTTCTGTTCCTTAACCTGCCAGGCCATTGTGGTTCTTTGTATCGGGAATGCCCTTTCTCCTTGTCTTCACATGGCTAGCTCCTACTTAATATTTTTGCCTCACCTTCTATGACCACCTCCTTTAAGAGGTTTTCTCAGACCACTCATCTAAAGTAGCCCATTAGACATGCTTCTCTTCCTTTATTTTCTATACAGCACCTATTCATTTATTTCCTTACTTGTCTCTTGTCATTAAACTGTACATTCAAAAATAGCAGGAAACTTGTTTTCATCTCTGGATCCACATTGCCTAGAAAGAAAAGTACTCGGCACATAGTAGACCATTTAATTAATGCTTATGGAATCAACAGATAAGTGCTCCACAACCAATTATTGTTCTTTTTAATTCAGAAAACATTTGAGTGCTTACTTTGTGCTGTGCACTGGATAGCCTAATGAAAAACAGAAAAA